CTGGAGGCGGTGTCAGCGGAGGGGCGGCTGCGACCGTCACCACCGGCCCCCTGCTGTCCCCCGCTTTCCTCCCGGGCTGCTCCCGCCTCTCTGGGGCTCCGTCCCAGGGCGTCTGCGTCTCGGATCCCGCTCTTGCCAAGTTCTGGGGCTTCGGGAGCGACGATGGAAAGAAAAGGCGATTCTCCGCTCGCTGCGCTCAACGTTCGGGGACCCCGTAAGTCAGACGTGTTAACTGTGCTCCTCAAACCCGCTATTTTTCTTCTTCACTTTGTCACTTGGTTGTTTTCTTCTGAGAAAAGCGCGTAAACGCTCTGGGATCGGGAGTCTGGTTCTCATGGCATCACGGTGACTTTGCGCCTCAGGTATCTGCATCGTCGCCGCGGCCCCGGGCCTCCAGGCTCCGCGTCCGGGGGTGTCCCTGCAGCCCGTGCCGCGGGGCCGCCAGTGGCAGGAGGGGCCCCCAGCCTTCCGGCTCCGCGGGAGTGAGCGGTTCCACAGGGTGTGCGGCGGTCGTGCACTTGCTTCTCACGCACACGCTTCCCAGCGGGTCCAGGTGCTCCCAGCAGGGGTCATGCTGTCGCTGCCCTGCCACCAGCAGCCACCGCCGGGGGCGCCGGCCAAGCTTCATTTCACGGACACCGCGGGCACCAAACTCTTTACTCTGCGCGGCCAGCTGAGCTCCCCGACGACCGTGGCTTCGCCGGTGTGTCCCCGCACGACCCCCCGTGGCTCTCTGCCCCCATCGCTGGCGCCTGTCAGGTGCTGGGTGTCAGGGCAGGGAGGGGCTGGCTGGGGACAGCTCGTGGTGCCCTCCGTTGTCAGTGCGACCGCTGGCCTGCGAGCCCAGGGGGTCCAGTTCAGACTGGCCCGAGCCCGGCGGGTCCGCTGCTGGGGCTCCGGGGACCTGCGGCCGCCTGGCTCAGTCTCCCTCCCGAGCTTCCAGAGCTTGTAGGAGGCACGTGTCCCCCTCTGTGCCCTGTGCTTGGTGTTGACACGCGCCTGTTCCGTACGGACATCCTGGAGCTGTGTCCCAGCTGATCCCTCGCGACCCGACAGCACCTGCCAGCACCTGCCTTCTGGGACGGGCAGCAGCTCTGTCCCGTTCCCCACAGGGATGTCCCCAAGCGTCGTCTCCCCTTTTCTCTTCTCTTTTTTACACTTTCACATGTGCCAAATTGCACATAAATCTCACCATTTTAAGGGGTACGGTTCAGTGTCGTTAAGCACACTGGGCAGCTGCCGGCACCGTCCGTCTCCAGAACGTCCTCATCTTCCCAAATGGAAAAGCTGTCCTCGTTAAACACCAAGTCCCCACCCCCTCCTCAGCCCCTGCCCCCGTTGTATTTTCTGCCCACGGGAGTCTGAGCGCCCTGGGGACCTCGCGTGGGGCGCCTTACAGTGTGCGTCCTTCTGCGACCCGCTGACCTCACCGAGCATCACGCCCCGAAGGTCCATCCCCGTTGTAACCTGTCGGAGCTTCCTTTTCTCGGCCTAAGCCCGGCTCCGGCGGGGCACACACCACACTCCTCCCTCGCGGGGCCCCCGGCTGCTTGCACTGCGGGCACTGTGCACAATGCTGCTGCTCACACGGGCGTGCGCCCACCTGCTTGAGCCCCCGCACGGGAGGAGAGCTCGCACGCGCCCAGACGTGGAATCGCCAACCGCCCGGTGATTCCAGGGTAGTGTTTTCGGCCACTCCGTGCCGTTCCCCACAATCTGCCCCACGTTGCACGGCCGCCAGCGCTGCACGGGGTTCCGATCTCTCCACATCCCTGCCAGTCCTTTTTTTCTTTTTTTTTTTTTTATCAGTAGCTACCCCAACGGGGGTGAAGCGGTTTCCGCTGTGGTTTTGATCGCCGTTGCCCTAGGACCGGTGAGGTGGGGCATCTTCTCATACACCTGCCGGCCACTGATACACCTGGAGAAGAGTCTGTTCAAGTCCTCTGCCCGTTTTTTCTCAGGTGGTGGTTGTTTTGTTTTAGTCCCCTCTGCACTCTGGACAGTTATCCCTTACCAGGTACGTGATGTGCAAACGCTGCCATTCCGCGGGTTGGCTTTTCACTCTGGGGACTTGACGAACCCTAATTTACCTTTTTTTTTTAAATTTTATGATAGTCACACAGAGAGAGAGAGAGAGAGGCTGAGACACAGGCAGAGGGAGAAGCAGGCTCCATGCACCGGGAGCCCGACGTGGGATTCGATCCCGGGTCTCCAGGATCGCGCCCTGGGCCAAAGGCAGGCACCAAACCGCTGCGTCACCCAGGGATCCCTAATTTACCTATTTTTACTTTTGTCGCTGGGGCTGTGGGGTATCATCCATGAAATCACTGTGAGTCCAGTGTCATGAAGCTTTCCCCTGGGTTTTCTTTTTTTTTTCTTAATTTTTATTTATTTATGATAGTCACAAAGAGAGAGAGAGAGAGAGAGAGGCAGAGACACAGGGAGAGGGAGAAGCAGGCTCCATGCACCGGGAGCCCGACGTGGGATTCGATCCCGGGTCTCCAGGATCACGCCCTGGGCCAAAGGCAGGCGCTAAACCCCTGTGCCACCCAGGGATCCCTCCCCTGGGTTTTCTTGTAGGAGTTTTGCAGTCTTTTTTTTTTTTAATTTTATTTGTTCATTCATGAGAGACACAGATCGAGAGAGAGAGTGAGAGAGGCAGAGACACAGGCAGAGGGAGAAGCAGGCTCCATGCAGGGAGCCCGATGTGGGACTCGATCCCGGGTCTCCAGGATCACGCCCTGGGCCGAAGGCGGCGCTAAACCGCTGGGCCACCCGGGCTGCCCGTTTTGTAGCCTTCTGTCTTTGATCCACTTTAATTTTTGTATGTGGCACTAGGAGTTCAACTTCATCCTTTTGCACGTGCAAACCCAGTGTTCCCAGCAAGCGCAGACAGGACGGCCCCCCCCCCCTCCCGGAGCGTCTTGGTGCGCTGGTCAGCCCCCTCTAACTCTGCGAGCGGTGTGTGTTTTGCCTCCCGAAAAGTTTTGTTGGTTTTCCACACGTGGTTGCACGTAACCGTCTCTTCTTTCATGGCTTCTGGACTGAGGCTAGGTGAGAAAGGTGAGAGAAAGGCTGCCCCAGGCATGTGGAGTTCGTCCTGGTGTTGGATGAGCCGCTCGGCTTCTAGATCGGCTTCTACACCGCCGCCCAGCACGGTCTATCATAAACTCCACCTTCCCCACTGATCTGAGATGCCAGCTGCATCCTACACCCGGTGTCTGTCGGCATTTGGGTCAACTTCCAGACTCGCTCTTCAGTCCCGATATCCACCCACCACACGCCAGGGCTCCGTCGCTTTGCTCACTGGAGCTCTGTGCCATGATCTCACACCTCTTAGGGCTGGACCTATGTTTATTTTTGTTTTGCCGGTTTGGCTTACTGACAAAGAGGAAAACATTTACCATCTTTTAAAGCTTATCGAATATCTAACATTTTTATCATTGATGACACCGAATCGCGAAACGCTTGAGGAGGACCCTCCGGGCTGGTGTCTCTTCCTGTTGTCAAGTCATATTGTCAAAGTTTCTCTCAAACAGGTGGCTTGTTTCCTGTCAAGCTTACTCCCGTTTCCAAGTTGGTCTTTCTCGTTTCTCCCCCGGAGTCTGTTTACAGTCACGCGGGCCACTGCTTTGCCCGCACTTGCGCGCAGCGTCTTCGCTAAAACCCTCCGCTGTGGGCGCCTCCTAGAGCTTTCTCCTGCACCGAGCAAGAGCAATTGCACGTCACCCGTGGTGCTGCTGTCAGCGTGTGCACATCCCTGTCGTTTGGCTGCTTGGGACAATTCTTCCAAGATGGCACAGGTCCCGTGAGGATGGTGACACACCCGCAGCTCCGCCTTGTTCTGCCTGGGACTGCTGTGGCTCTGATTCCTTTTGCTTCCCTCGCTGTTCTGCTCTCCTTCACGATAGAGGTTTTCTTCAAAGGTGCGGCACCCTTAGCCGTTAGCCAGCGTGCAGCGGGGCACCAAAACCACTGGCAACACGCGTGGCTTGGGGCTCAGGGGCTCAGGGGCTCGGGCGGCAACCGCTCCTGCTGCCTCCCACACGCAGCTGAGAGCGGCCCTGGCTGTGCCCACTGAGACCACCCGGCAGAACTCCCGATGGCCACCCTCCCACCCTCTTCCGTTCCGTGGGTTCTTGCCTTCTTCGGAACCTTCCGTGGTCACTGCGGCGAGAGGCCCAGAAGGCAGAGGTGCACACGCTTGCCCAGCCGCTGGCCGGAGGCTGCATGTCTGCAGATGCTCCCCGGGGAGGTCGCTACCCTTGGGTGGGCACCTGTCCTCACTACGTGGGGTGGGGCCCCCAGTGAACCTGCACGAGCACGGAGCTCTTGTGGGCTTGGGATGGGGGCTGGGGGGCTGGGGGACGGGGGGACGGGGGGACGGGGTTCACGCGGGCAGGCTGGAGGCTCCCTGGGAGGCGATGCCTGCAGGAGCAGAAAGAGGAAGGGCACCAGGCAAGACAGGCGGAGGGTGCCCCGGGCAGCCCCTCAAGGCTCCCGCGGCAGCAGGAGGGCGCGGGCAGCACTGCAGGGAGTCGGGGCCCCAAACCCGGGGCCTGCTTTCCGGCTCCCCCCAAATCCCTCCCCTCCGGCCACCCGAAGCTGGGGCTCGCCGGTCCCCGGGACCCTCCGAGGGCAGCGGGCGCCTGCCCCTCCCCGCCAGCGGCCCTCCGCACGCGCGTGTCCGAGGCACCCCCGGGGCTGACCGCGCCCTCGCTCCGTGGGGCCCGCGTGGCGGGGGGGGGGCGCCTCGGGCGAGCGCAGCCCCGGGGATGGTCGCGGCAGCTCCGCCGCGGGTCCGGGACGCGGGCGCGGGGGAGGCCGAGGCGGCCCGCGGGGGGCGCCGGCACCGGGGGGGGGGGATGCTCCGGGGGGGGGGATGCTCCGGGGGGGGATGCTCCGGGGGGGATGCTCCGGGGGGGGGATGCTCCGGGGGCCGCCCAGCCTGAGGCCTCCCGCCCGCCCCGCCCCGCCCCGCCCCGCCCGCTCGGGCTTACCCAGTCCTGAGTCTGCGGCCGCCGCCCTGCGCTCCGGGCCGGGACCCCGCGGGGCTCCGACGGCGGCGCTGCCCGGGCTTCCGCCGCGGCGCCGGCTCCTCCCCCGGGGGCGCGTCCGGCCACGGCTCCCGGCCGCCCTCGTCCTCCCGGGTCCGGGGCAGCGGGACCCGCCGGCAGCCGGCGCCCCTCCCCCTCCCTCTCCGCCTCTCGCCTCCGCCTCCCCGGGCCCGGCCCCGGCCCCCCGCCCCCTCCCCGGCTCCCCCGCCCGGGCCCGGCTCCCCCCCGGCTGCAGCCCGGCCGCGCGCCCCCACCCAGGGCCGCCGCAGAACCGACGCCCCGGGCCCCCCCCGCCCCTGTGACCTCAGCCGCGCCGCGCGGACCGCGCCCCCCGGGCCCTCGGGGGTCCGCTCGCAGGGATCCCGGGCCACAGGGCGGAAGGCGGGCGGGCGGGGGCAGCCCGGGGGCGGCGGTCGTGCTGCGGGGCGGGGCGGGGCGCGGGGCGGGGCGCGGGGCGGGGCGCGGGGCGGGGCCCACAGCGCCTCGGGAGTCCCCCAGGGGGCGGGCCCCAGCCTGGCGGAAGTTCCGCCGCGACCGGCCCCGCCCCGCCCCGCTCCGCCCCGCCGCTTCCGGCCCGCTCTGCGCCTGCGCCGCGCGCGGCCCCTCCCCTCCCGCCGCCCGGGGCGTGGCCTGCGTCCCAGGCCCGCGGGGATTGTGACCCGGCGCCGCCCGCGGGGCTGCCCTCGCGGGGCCTCGCCGCTCCGTCTCCCGGGGGCCTCCGAGGCGAAGGGACGCGGGGTCCTCGGCCGGAGCCCGGACGCTCGGCCTGCGGGCTCTGCGCTCTCCTCCGCCTCCCGCCGCCGCCCCCCGCGGCACCCCCGCCCTCCCCCGCGGCACCCACGCCCCCCCGCCCCCAGCTGCCCCCCCCCGCCCAGCGCCCCCCCCGCCCCCAGCTGCCCCCCCGCCCAGCGCCCCCCCCGCCCCCAGCTGCCCCCCCCGCCCAGCGCCCCCCCGCCCCCAGCTGCCCCCCCCAGCGCCCCCCCCCCCGCCCCCCGCTGCCCCGCCCCCGGCCCCCCCCCAGCCCCGACGCTGTCCCCGGGACGCGGCGCGCGGGCGCCCGGAGGAACGACACGGCGGGAGGGCGGAGGGCCTGGGCGCCCCCCAGGTTTATTAGTGTCGCGTCAGCACCTTGACATAGTCCACGTGGTCACATACGTGACAGGTCAGAGTCTGTTCCCCAGGAGGCTGCGTACATCGTCATGTTTTCCCCTTAAAAAGAAAAGAGCCCCTGGCGACACACGTCCTAGAAACTAAGGGAGGCAGGAGGCAGGCGGCAGGCGGCAGGCGGCAGGCGGAGCTGGAGCGGGGCCGCCGCCGGGTGTCCCGCCGGGTGGAGGAAGGGCGCGCAGGACCGCCCGGGAGCCCGGCCCCCAGCGGGGAATCTGCTCCAGGACAAGGGCGGGCCGAGGGGAGCCCAGTCTTCCCGTCTGGGGGTTGGACGGCGCAGCAGGGCCATCCTCGGCCATCCTCGGCATCCTCGGCCACTCCCGGGGCTGGGCCCCGACACGGACTCAGGACACGGGCCCGCACACCCCAGGAGGCCCTGGCCCAGGGGGCGACATGGGAGGCGGCAGGGGCCCTGCCCCGTGGTGATGGGGGGCACGACCTGCGAGCCCTAGTTCATCTGGTCGCCCAGCGGGCTGGGAACCCTCACCCCCAGGGGCGGCTTCCCCCAAGGACCCTCAGCCCCCACCCCCCACGTGCTGGTGGCGGCACCGGCTCAGCACAGATGGCTTTCACGTCTGCGTCATCTTCCTCGGAGGGACAAAGTGCTTTTACATGGATCCTCAGAACAGTTCCATGAGGTAGGCAGGGGAAACGTGACTGTCCCTGTTTAGCCATTGGGGAGGCCGAGGCACAGGGGTCTGAGGCTGTGTGCGCCAGCTCCTGGGCCTGGGACAGTGTGGCGGGTGGGCCCCGTGGCACTTGGGAACAGGACAGACTGCAGCTGGGCTCTGGCGGCCCCGGGGCCGGGTGGAGGTGCTGTGCGTCCCCCCCGCAGGTAGGACGTAGCCATGGAAGTGGACGGGAGGTGGGTGCGGGGGAGGTGGACCCAGGAGCACGCAGCCCACGGCGGGTGCTGCCCCCTTGGTCCCTTCCATAGTCAGTCCTGCTGCTGGAAAGCGGACTCAGGAGCCTCCCGTCCCTCCTCCCTGCTGAGTATGACTCTTTGGGAAGAAACCCTGAGGAGCAGCGGGGACAGGGCCGGGAGGCTCGGGGTCCCAGGGCCTGCTCCTGAGGGCGGCTGTGGGTGGACACCACACGGGCTCCTGCGGCGTGGGGGCTCAGCCGCCTTGTCCCAACTCCCAACCCCGTCCTTCCAAGCCGGGTTCTGGCCCAGCTGCGGTCAGGGGAGGAGTCCAGACCCTCATGGGGAAGGGCCTCTGCCCACAGGCATCCCTGAGGCAGGGCCATACAGGAGGTCCGGCCAGGACCCTCCGACCCTGAATCGCCTTGGGGACGGAAGTACACAGGTGGGTCACAGGTGAGAAAGCGGGTCGTCTCTCACTGCCCCGGGGTCAGACCTGTCCTCTGGAAGAATGGGAGCGGCCGCAGCCTGCCCTGCACTGGGCACGGTGCTCTGGGCGCAGCCTGGGTGGCCCCCTGGGTGGGCTTCGGGTCCCGGGGCCACACCTGCCAAAGGATGGGAACTGGTGGGCTCTTTCTGTGCAGAGTGGGGGTACGTGCTTGTGGGGGGAGCAGCGGGACTGGGCTGGACTGTCTCCTGCTGCAAGGCGGGGGTGACGCGCCACCCAGGGTGGGATCCACACCCAAAACCTCGCTCTAGGGAGCTGGGCCCCAAGAGGTGAGAGCTCCCTGCCTCTCCAGGGTCCCTCCGCGCCTGGCGCCTGCGGTCGGGCCGCCCAGGCAGCAGGTGGACGGCGGAGGCCGAGTGCGCTGGGCCGGCTGCGGGCCGCTGTGCTTGCTAAGTCTGGGGCGGGGACAACTGGCGGAGGAAGGGAGGAGGCGTAGTGCGGGCTCAGGAGCAGCGGAGGGCGGGCGGCCCGGGGTGAGGGGGTGGAGGGCCGGGACGCGGGGGCAGCGCTGGCTGGCTCTCCCCAGCCCCGGGGGGCCGCTGGGACGTCAGAAGAGCAGTGTCTGTTTGGCAGCTACATTATAACATGTATTTAAAAGCATTAAAAATATCTGCTACTATAAAACCTCCGCTGCCCCGCGAGGCTGGAGTTTATTGGGAACCACGAGTGGGCGGTGCTGGGGCATCTCCCGGCTGGTGGGCGGCTGGGCCCAGCCTGGCTGCCGGCCTCCCTGGTCTGCTCGGGGCGCCCCCAACAGGAGGCCGGCCCCCAGCCTCCGGCAGCCCGTGGATCTGTGCGGACCCCGCCTGACCCCAGCTCCCTGAGGACGCAGAGTCCTGGCTTTCAGGAAGGACAGGACGCGAAGGTGAGGACCCTTCTTGCTGGGGGGCTCGGGAGGTCCTGAGGCCGAAACACACCTTTCGTGATCCTCAGAGCTCAGCACTGTCCGCCTGACCTCCCACCCCGCCGGCACGTCTGGTTAATGAGCAGAGCAGTTAGCGGGCTCCGAGGGCGGGAGCCTCCCCAGGAGTTTCCAGGTCGCGAGCACATTCATACTTAAGACTGTTTCTCTTTGTTTGTAAGGGTCTCTGTGGTAAACTGAAATGTTAACAGAAAAGCAGCTGGGCCCTCCTGGCGCTCGCCGTCCAGGGCTTCGGGGCAGGGCTAGCAGGTGGACTTGGAGTGTCCGAAGATGCAGATGGGGAAGTGCTTGACGTGGGAGGACCACTGGGCCGCCAGCTGGAAGAACTTGACGTCGTTCCACTCCACGCCGTCGATGAGGACTGCGAGGACAAGACCGCCTGACCCGCCTGCCCACCAGGCCCCAGGACCGGGCTGGAGGAGCCCAGCACCCCCGGGGCCCCGGGCTCCTGGGAGACACCCGGTGGCAGTCCACCGGTGCCGGCCGGCTTCTCCCGGCCTCCGGGGACCTGCTCGTCCACAGCCCCTCCACCCCAGCAGGGGCCTGGCGACTGCGTTCAGACACCCTCCACTTAAACCAGAAAAACAACAGAGGAAGGTGGAGCGGTTCTTGACTGCAGTGGTCACCAGGCTCAAACTCACGAAGACAAGTGTTTGGGGCTCCATGTTCTGAGTTAATTGGTTGTAAAATATCTTCTATAAAAAATCTGAGATATACAAATCAATCTTAAAAGAATGGAAAAGAGGGACGCCTGGGTGGCTCAGCGGTTGAACGCCTGCCTTTGGCTCGATGTGATCCTGGGGTCCCGGGTTCGAGTCCCCACATCAGGGTCCCTGCAGGGAGCCTGCTTCTCTCTCTGCCTGTGTCTCTGCCTCTCTCCCTTTGTGTCCCCCATGAATAAATAAATAGAATCTTAAAAAAAAAAAAAAAAAAGAATGAGAAAGATTGAGAAATCATTTCTCAGAAATTAAAAAGCTGTCCCTCTGGTACGAGTGCTTTATCCACGCAGGTTCGGAGCTTCGACTACAAATGTGCATTTTGTAGCAAAGCATAAGTGTTCCCAGAGGGGAATTCTGAAAAGCGCTCCAGCTTCCTCTGGTTTCCTTTCGTACTTTAGACAGAAGCACCGGGGACTGGGGTCAGGGACCCAGCTCCCCACGGCCCCCCGCTGAAGGAAGCACATCTGGACAGGTGACCTCCCAGGAGTCCCGGGAGCCCCCCCGAGGTGCTCACCCCTCAGCATGTTCTGCTGGTGCTTGGCTGTGCAGATGAGGCGGCTGATGCCCTCGATGCACTGGCTCTTGGACTCCACGTCCTTGTCCTTAGTTTTCTTGGGCAGAAACATCACTGGGAAGGAAAGGGCTGCAGGGCTCAGCCACAGCCCTCGCAGCCCTGCCGTCCTGAGCCCCCCCCCCACCGTGACCACGGCCGCCAGCCCTCCCGCCGACCCAGGCGGCCTCTGCTCACTGCCTGTGGCCACGGTCAGGAGCGGCGCCCTGACCCGTGGTGACCTCGGGGCCTGTGTGGCCGCCCTTCCCGTTACCCCGACAGCCAGCCCACCGCCCCCACCTCACCCTTCTTGTTCTTCTCCTTCGTGACCACGGTCATGGACATGGTGGGCGTGGCCGCGGCCTCGCCACTGCTGGGCAGCCTGCTGACCTGGAGAGACCGGAAGGTGCACTTGAGCGTGTTTTTGGTGGCAGGCAGGTCCTTCTTCTCCACCTCTCTCTTCCTGTCTGCAGGCGGGGCTGCCGTCCAGTAATCCACCTGCAGCCCCATCAGCTCAGCGCCGACGCCCTGGCTGCGAAAGCAGAGGGGGCCTCACTCCTCCGTCCTCGCTCGGGGGCTGGCACGGCGGGAGAAGGTGCCAGCTGGCGCCCGTGCTGCTCAACGCCGGCGAACCGCCTGCGGCAGCTGACCAGCACACGGGAGCCCCGGCCTCCGGGGACAGCCCAGTCTGTGCCTGTGGGTGGGCACGGTCGCGATGCTGAGATCCCCCAGGAGCGCCCGGGACTGCCCCCCGCCTGCTCCCTCAAGCCACTCCTTGGAGCCTGGGGGGCCAAGGTCAACCAGCCCCATCTGAGGTGTGGTCCCCACGGGACTCGGGGGCAGCCCCATGAGCCCGCGCCCTGCCGACCCCACCCCACCTCCGGCTCCTGCCGCTTCCCCCTACACCCCATCTGCGTGCAGAGCACCCCCCAGCTTTACTCCTGTGTGGTTTCGTCCCTAGTGCCACCAGGGCCGGGGGGCCGAGGGGGCCACACCAGGCCAGGACCTGGCCCTCTCCCAAGTCTCGCAAGCCAGCAGGGCCCATGCCACCCTCACCCAGGGGGCACCTCATCCCAGCAAGCCCGTGTCTTCCCCAAGGCCGTTCTGAGCCCCCTCCGGCCAGGCTCTGGGCTTGCTGGCGTCGGGGAGGTGCGGCCGGCGGCCGTGAACTCTCCGCGTCCTCTAACCCGGGGCCCTGCTGCGTCAGGAGGGGGTGGGGCGCCTGCCTTGTGCGGCCACCTTTACCTGGGGGAGGACAGGCCCCCGCTCACTGACGGGGAGGAAGGCGGCGTGGGTGAGGCCTCCTTGGCCGCGGGAGACGTGGACGGTGGGGTGGATGAGAGCATGCTGGAGCCCGAGGGGGCCGCGTCGTCAGAGTCACCTTTGGGAGGGAGTTGAGCAGGGCTGAGCTCCGCAGGCCTCTGTCCGCAGAGCAGCCCGGGGGGCTAGGGAGGAGTTGCCAGGGCCCCCCGA